TTCCCTTATTTTGTTCCTATATATTTCTAGGTAAATTACTGCTATGTTTTGTACTGTTGTATTGTGCTGTTATTTTAAGTGAAACCTCTTCATAAGAATATTTTCTAGCTTTATATTAGTGGCTAAATCATTAATCAATTTTTACTTATTTGTTTGCATGAACCACAACCTTATTCAACAACCCTAATGCTTCTAATATCTTTCCAGATGAATCTAAACATATTCTGTTAATTCTATTCATATCTTCACTCAAGCACCTGTTACATGTATCCCAAGATATCAGCAAAGGTTAATATTATATTAAAATATGGATGCCCTCCAATAGTCTAGTACAGCATAAAAAGTATGTATGTATAAATATATACATATATGTATTTATTTATTTATATATATAAAATAGTGTTCGATAGATATTGTGAGGTCTATAAACTCCTATGCAGTATCTAACAGTCTAGAAAGAGAGAAAAATATGACCAAAGGAGCCCAAGGTAGAGCTGAAGCACAGGGTATGCTACAGAAGGATTAGAATCAACTAATAAATGGTTCATTTCTAAATGCAAGATTAACTTGCTTCTTGTTTGGTAAAAAAAAATGCATTATGGAATATACTGAGATATGCTTTAGGAAAAGAAGGTACGGTGAAAACATGAGGCAATTTTAGGATGTTAAGAACTGAGGCAGAGAATATACAAGCCATGTTACCAATCATTGCAAGAAGGTTCCAGATCATGGGCAATTAAAAAATGGAAAAATGTCATCAAGTAACTAAGAAAAAGTGTTATAATTAACATGGCTAAATGAAAGTGTCTAAATGTTATGTCAGTTTCTGTAACAAACAGGTCTGAAAATATATGAAGAGTGCATGCAAGAGTTTGTCTCTTTGTCTTGCTCATATAATTTGTACTCCACCTTCCATTGTATAGAGTTGTTACTGAGAAAGACTATAGTATGACCCTTAAAGATCATCTGCTCAGGGAGTAGGGGTGTGGCTCCATGTTTCATGTGCAAGTCCCTAAGTTATACCTCTAACATCACACACCCACAAAAAGTTTCTATTCAGAGACAGTGTGGTGTTCTAAGTTGGTGAAGATGACAAGGTGATGAGTCCCCTTGGCCCTGTTTCCCTTCATCACTAAAGCCTCAGAGTGCATAGTTTTTTTTTTTTTTTGCCAAACAAAAAGCAAATACAAATGCCCCCAGCAGAAGTGAGCATGAAGAAAAACAAGGAAGCAACCATGACTGCATCTAACCTGAGGGGAAAAAAAGGAAGTAGGAGTATTTAGAAGCCTTGTCCTGGATTTAACACACATTATTCTGCCCACATCCCACTGATGTAAAGAAACCAAGTGACTCACCTAGATACAACTAGAGGCTGCTTTGCCAGTCTCTGCAGTCGGGTAGCTATGCAACATAATAACTTATTTCTATAGAAGGCTGAGCACAATCTATGATGGCAATCTGTCCCTGGGGTGATGGTCCCACTTCCAAACACTAACATGGAATGTGAAGAAACAAATCATAAGAGATTCCAAAGATGGGCAGCCTACCCATGCCAAAATAACACTTGGGAAGAGAAGAATCCCCTGACACACCACCTGTGGCATTCCATGGAGGAAGCTGTGGCACTTCCTCACAGACGGTCACACAGCTGCTGTGTGCACCAAAGTGAGGAATCAGTACACAGGAAGAACAGACAATATGCTTGAGAACTCAAAACACAACGTAAAACCATGTGTGAGTCTATTTGTTCTAGAAAACAAATAAAACAGGCAGATCAACCTAGCTGGTAGGAATCGGAAATACAGCAATTGTTCACAGACAACAGTTTTGATGAGATTCTGAGAGTGTCAATCTGAGATTTTCTGAGTATATACTCTGAGAGTATAAATAGAAATGTAAACACTACTTCAATCAAAGGAAAAGAAAGACTCTCTACCAAAACCAGAGTAGGTTGTCTGAACTTCTGATAGATGCACTTTTTCATTAAAAAAAAAATATTCCTTCCCATAAAAGAAGATCAGGCTATCTTACTTGTGCATGAACCGATTTAAGGAATCACTGACTCGTGGTTTCTCTTAATGTCCTTTAAAATTATGTAGAAGGGCATGTGGGTGGGAATAAGGAAAGCAAGACTGGGCTCCTTACACACACAAAGAGAGCTGTTTTCTTAGACCTTTTCTCTGGTTCTTAACAGTTGACTGTGACATCTACTACACTGTTGGCACAGGTCATCACCACTGGCTCTGACACCTCCATGCTGACTGAGCCTGTGCCAGCAAGGGACAGAATTTTAAACCACCATCTGCCTCTCTGAATCATCACACCACAATCCCAGTTTAGCAACTGTGAGGTCCCATTCGTGCTCCCACCCGCTAGTAGAGGTCAGGAAAAATAAAAAGTGTGCATTTCTGTTTGGAAAGTAAAGAGGAACAGAGCATTCTCACCCAGTCAGCTACCCACAGTGATGGATCCCCCCCAAATTCAAGATTTTTTTTTTTTTTTTTGCAGTGCTATAGATGAACCCAGGACTTTGTAAATGCTAAACAAGTGCTCTACCACTAAACTACACTCCAGTCCAGGAAATTCAAGTTACGTTTAAATGACCACGTATGGCTACTTGTTTGAAGCCTACATCTAACCAATCCAGTGTATAAGAACTGAACTGTTTATAAAATTGTTTTAGAAGAATGTTCCTCCATTGCCCCCAGTAACTCAATCACCTATACTTTATTTTCCCTGACAAACACATTTGGTGTCACTGAAGTGGGATTTGCTGAAATTGAAACATGTGGTTTGGGAAGAGGAAGGATAAAAGAGTAGGGAATGAGGAACCTTTGATTCCTGGGTGGCCATAAGATTCCCCTTAGCATGGATCAACAGTTGTGATCGGTTACCAAAGGGAAAATGTACCCATAGAATTGAGAAATGGATCTAACTCCTGGAGAACTGGTCAATTTGATACTAAGGAAAGTCAAGCTAATAAGGAAAAAAGCAAAATATACTGTGGTTATTGTTAGCTGTCTTGGCTAAAATGAAATTAAGAGAGAATGCTGGGCCCAGAAGTCCAGATGTCTGTCTGCCAAATGCTATAAATAGGGATGATTCCTAAGCAAGACACTGTAACTATGTTTCTAAACCTCATGTCAGAATTCCTAAGGGTCTGAAGGGGGCAAGTTGTGACCTCACCCCATCTCGCTAAAGTGGGACTCATAGTGAATGCAGTTAAAACTGCCTAATGGTAAACACAGGCCTCTAGTTCTCCACTATCTGAATGGGACTGACTTACTAGACTCATAGTGCTGCCTACAGTCTAGCCCAGGACAGAAGCCAATCCTAATATCCCTTCCAAAGGTAGAAAAGTTTAGGTATTAATGGATACAAGAAGGAACAGCAAATGATTTGGGTAAAATGAGAAATAAATGAACTCAATATTTATATCATGCTTATCAGCTTATTTCTGATCATCATTTTACTCTCTGTTTGTGATTAATTCATACTTCTCTGTGTGTCATCTGTGAAACCAAAATCTGAAGAAATAATTTGAGGAGAAAAGCAAACATTTACTGATAACATTTTTTAGTTATTTCACTGTAAGTGATCTTCATGTAGCAGATTTTTGAAATCCCATTTTGAAGCAAATTAGAGATAATCTTCCCTTTTGGTGTCTCTACCAGTATAATCTTGTAACATACTCTTATAGTGTTTCTACCCAAATGCTGAGTTTACTCTAGTCTTTCAATTTATCTTATCTATACAGGCTAAATGTTTCAACTCAGCTTCAATCCCTCTTTTTCCAATTCAGAGATTGGAGTGCATGAGCATTCTCCACACTAGATCTCCAATGGTCTAGTTTGTCTTTCACTTTTTGATACCTAGAGGTGGGTGGGTCAATTTATAAATAAAATATGAGCAACTACTTGAGGACCTGGACCTGTCAGAGGAAAGTGAGCCATGCCCAGGGTGTAGATGGCCTCGACCTGCACCAGCAACTCAAAGTTGGAGGTGAGAGGTCACTTTAGGGAACAGGAGAGAAAAATGAGAAAAGACCCCACCAACATTGCAAATGTTTATTATAAATAAATGGGGAGGCACAATTCCACATCACAACATCTCTTCCCAGAAAGATCTAACAGTTAAATCTTATAACCTAAGAGAAAATTACAGACTAACGTTAAAAGATAATGATGCAAGCTCAGTCGTTGCCACTATGATTTTGAAAATCCCCAAACTCTGAGAGGTCCTATGATTTGGGGTGAGAGTCTCATAGGACATACCCAGGTCTTGTGCCTAGGGCTCTCCATCTCCATGGGTACTCCAAAGGTACTTCCAAATGCACCTTACAGACAGGGCAGCTAGCAGATGTCATCCACACTACAGAGTATCAATAAAAACAAATGCAACTGCAAGGCTAATAGGAGCTAAACCTATGACATTTAGAAACCTCTTGGAGATGCTACAGACAGATTACAAAAAAAAAAAAAAAAAGCAACACAATACACCCAGGTATACCCACAACCTTGTCATACCCACAACCTTGATAAAGTAACAAGAAAATCACAACCCATGCTCTGCAAAAGAAATCCCACAGGAAAAAAAATAGGAAAGATTTTATGATTTTTACTGGTCACAGACCATTTTATACTTCCAAATTCTGGGCTTCCTAGGAAGATGTCACCCACTGAATAGAGAAACATTTCATCAAGACGGGATGAAATGAATCTTTCCAATAAAAAATTGCACCTACTGTAAGGTGCTCATTCATTTCATATCCCAAGCCCTGTAGGTATCCACTACTCTATCAAAACTGTCCTAAACAGCCTTTTCAGAGCCTGGCAAATTCAAATCCTGAATTTAGAAACCCGGGTTTTTAATTCAATCCATAATGACACATGTTAAGAGCATATAAATTGCTTCTCAACTAAATGTTCTGGGTATAATTTATTCAAGATAATATATTTGCTTTAAAGTCATAGATTAATTTTTAAAAGCTTTTTGCCTACCTTTTCAAGAAAGATCACATTTCAGGATCCCATATCACAGAGAAACCATCTTTTCCTGTAGGGAAAAAAAAAATAAAAGAAAGACTATCCACTAGTTACAAGAAGCAGCAAAGATTCATTTTTAAGACCTATTCTAATCTCATTGTGGCTTCATTTACAATGTTAAAACAATGGAAAACCTTTAAATTAGACTTAAAATATTGCTCTGTTCCTATCTAAATGAAACACTTTAAAGACTTTGGCTCTAATGATTTGATTTCTGAAAATCAAATGGATAAACATACAAAATCAAATGGAAAACAGGCAAAAAATAAATGGAAATTCTTCCAAAATTAGAATTAAAGCATTTACTTCAAATCTACCCCAATGACATATGTTCAAACATTTTGTTCAATTTAAATGAAGAAGCAAATGTATAAAATTCTACTCCTGTTTCTACTTTTCTGTGGGAAGATGAGACAAAGCAACTGTACTGCTGTGTAGATCAGAAGGTAAGAGAACTATAAGCTGCTACCTCCTTCTGCTGAAATTTTTATTATCTAAGCCAGTTAGCCATATTTATGGGCTCCATTTTTCTTATTTAAGACTTTTGGATCAAGAAATAAACATAAAGGAAACTAAATAAAAAATAGGACACATCTGATTTTATTTCACATTTGTAATAAACTATGTACAAATTTCCTGTTACCAAAGTTATCATGACTTTTTTGTTCAAAATTACTTGTTGGTGTAGATTATTTTAATGTATTATCTTTAAACATTCAAATCCAAATTAGGAAGTAAATGATTTAGTTTAACATAAGTTAGTCATCTAATATAACTATATAACTCTGACCCTGAACCTGACACTTGGGTTTCATATGCAATGTAATTTCCCAGGGGAGCAATGATGTATGGAGTCAAATACAATATCTGAGATTCTGACACCCTCCCCCAAAAGCTCCAAAGGACTGGAAATGACTCCCAAAGCATCAATCCCAGGGGACCACACTCCAGAGGAATTTCCCCCATATTCACATCAGATAAGGACTCCTATATGAGCTTATGCTTGCTTCAGTTGCAACCTGCTTTTCAAACAATAAAAATCCTTTTTAAACTTTACATAAGAAATTCCCACAACATCTGACTGAAAGGAGTATGAATTTTGCACTCACTTCCAAGTTCATACAGACCAGTAGGACATCTGAACGTCTTGGTCATAGGTAGGTCCAGAAACTCTGTCCTTCAAAACAACACCAGTTCTGCACATTGTATTGTTCTGAAGCCAGCATCTGGGTCTTTGCTCTCCTGCTTTTCACCGCTTTGGATGTCAGTCAACATTACTTTGATCGGCTCAATGCTAATATAATATAATATAGTTAGGGTAATAGCCCATCTATTCTATTCTCTGAAATTACAGTTTCAGGTAGCCTCTGCTAACAAGGGAAAGACAAGATAGATGGATGATCAACATGGAAATATAGGTTACTGTGAGCCCACTAAGCTAAATCATAAGTTAAGGTATAGAAACAACTGAGTTGGGGCCACTTATAAACCTCCAGTTCAAAATGGCCCAACAGAAAATAATATGGTATCTAGGATTTGCTTCAAAACCGTCCAGATGGGATGGCTACTAGGGAGGAATAATAGGTGAAACAAAAGTGGCCATGAGTTTGTTGTTGTTTAATAATAGATACATGAAATTTCATTGTAATATTCACTCCACTTTTATGTATATTTAAATTTTTCCATAATAAAAAGTTTTAAAAATCACCATCCCATGAAGACTCTGGTTGAAAATATAGAAAGCCCAGATCATAAATATCACAATTGTTTTCAAACTCCCTTCAAAAAAAAATGGAACAAACTAGGGAGTACTCCAAGCAAAAAATTTAAAATTCAAATATCACATTAGGAAAAATTAACAGCTAATTGTTATGGTTTTATGAACATTACAACAATGGTTTTGAAGCTTTATTCCAGTATTTCAAAAGCAAAATAAACAAGCATATGTTTACTTGTCATAAAGCTTCTTTTTTATTGTTTAGAGCATCTCTGATTTGAATTAAATGATATCAACACAGAAACACTGGTTATCTCATATTTGTGAGAAATTGCTGATAATTAATTATACACCTTTGATTAATATAAGTGGAAAAATGGATGATTTATAAGTATTATCAATGTTATCTATTTCGTGAATAGAAATCTTTGTAAACAAGAGATCAGAGCAGAAACTATTTAAAAATTAAAAAGATTCTTTATTGATGCAAGCTTTGACATCACAAACATAAAGCCACCATATCTGCAACTTGCTGATGCTACACAAGTGAACTGAGAAATAACCAAATGACGGGCACCCCATGGACTACACCACTCATTTTGCCTAAAATTTGCAAGAGGCAAGAAGGGGTCACATGAGACTAGATCTCATCTTTCACAACAAGCAGGGGAAAGTCACACACCAAGTAAAATCATCCTCATGGCCTTAGAATTTGACTTACTGACCTTGCCAAACACCAGTGTGGGAAACCTGACCCTGGACATAATAAAAGGCAGGATTTATATCATGCTTTGGGAAAAGACTGTGCACACACCTGTGCCAAGCCTGCCTCAAAGATGAACCAGGTACAAGAACAAACCTAGGTTTCCCTCTGAACAGAGCATGCTCAAGACCTAGCATTGAATCCTCACATGGGATATGATGATTAAGAAAAGAGTTATAGTTTTTCTGTTTTCTTTTTCAAAGATTTATTGGCCTAAGGTAATCCGTTTGCTTTCCAATAAAGAAACAATGCCAAATTCTGAAACGGAAATGTGGGTAAGCATATAAAAGCTGGAAAAGGGAGTATTATGGGAAAATCAGAGTAACTTGGCTTTATCAGGCAGACTTCCAACCTTATCTATGAAAGGATCGAGGGTCAGAGAAGGGAGGGTGTGGGTAATAATTACAAACGAGTTTCATGGCAGAGGTTAGCTAAACAAAAATCAGTTGTTTTCAATTTGGAAGTCACAGTTCCATAGATTTACTACATGAGCTAAGAGACACTTCTATTAGTTCACATCCATACTTGGATAATTTTCATTCATGCAGCCATAGTTTAAGATCTAGTTAAAGGTGGAAGTGATGTATTACAAGGCCTTATACATTTAATAAATATCTGTCAAATAAATAAGTAGATGAAGTAGCAAGTAATATTCACCAAATTATAAAATCTCAGAGTAAATCCACTAGAAGTGACAAAAATAAAATTTCCAGGTATGACATCATGACTATTTATCTACTCTTCATAACCTTGATCTTCTGGGAGGTAATATACCTAGCTAAAATGATGTTTTCTAGACCCCCTTTGCAGTCGACGTAGCCATGTGAGACAGTTTTGACCAATGAGATGTGGAAGAGGGTTTTGGGAAAGGGTGTTCTCCTGATATGAATGAGTCCCTTTCCCTTTTCCCTTAGAGATTCAGAGCCATCTCAAAACCATGAGGACCAAAGCCATGCAGTAAGAGGAAGGATGGAAGGAAGGAAGAAAGGAAAGAAGAAGGGAGGGACAGAGGAAGGATTCATTGATCTGGTTCTCTGATGGCATTGCTGAAATGCTATATCCACCCCAATCTTAAAGTTCAAAGCCCACATTTCATGTTAGGTATGACAGAACCACATTTCGTGTTAGGTGTGACAAATGTCTATGAGTTTAGTTTGATGTTTTCTATCATTTACAGTAAAAAATATTCTAACAAATATCAGGAATGATTTACCTAACCTTTTCTGTATTCCAGAAGTGGCTTCTATTTCAACTGTGATGCTCCATACAACACTTAACACCATTATATCATCACCCCTGACCTCTTCCACAGTTTCCACCTGTCAGAAGAGCAGGTCTCACACTAAAGGACCAAGGAGCTTCAAGGAGAACAGCTACTAGAAAACCCTCAAAAACAACAGGTCATATCATCCTCCAGGCTGCGCCACACCCCACTGTGGATTCCTACCCTCTCATACTAAGGATGCAGGAGTGAATGATGACCCCAAAATCTCAATCCTATTCCAGTGACCAAAGAAATGGAGAATCTTCTGATTTAAAATAGTATTCAAAATTTGTATATATATAAAAACTTCTGTGTGTGTGTGTGTGTGTGAGTATAAAGAAAAGTAAATATTTACAGTCATGGCTAGATAACATCAGAAACTAAACATCACCAAGAAACAAAAACCACAACAGAAATAAACACCCTTTGAGAGTTTAAGAAATACCCTGATTCAAATGCTGCGACTCTGCTTCTACGGGTCCTAAGAGATGTAACTTCTGTGGAATTTAAAATACCACCATAATTTTTCTCTTATCTGTTGATCTGTCTTAATACAACAGAAACTTCTAGAGTTCACAAAGCTGGCACAGAAGTATTGAAAAATGCTGAAAAAAATGAATGAGCAAAACAACCCATACATTAGTTGGTTCCAAGAGTCTTCACGAAAAGTATGCAATTCTTTAAAAAAAAAAAAACTGTGAGCATCATTTCTAGAAATATAATAATGAGCTGCATGAGTAGTTCAACTGAACCAGCATGACACATGTAATCATTAAATGCATACAGAAAGAAGAGAACTACCCTTAAGAAGCAGATATTATAAATGAGGCGATGTGTTTGGCACTTTACACTCAGTATTCCATTTATTCTTCACAGATCTCCAGTCAGTCCCTAGTGTCTCCCTTGTAGATGAGGACAAATTCCAAGGGACCAAAGGAGATCACATAAGGTCACACTTCTAGTAAAAGACAGTCCTGATATTCAAACCCAGGAAGGTCAGCTGTTGCTTTTTTTGCTGTATCACGCTACTACTTCACTTTGATCTTCATTAAAATATTACTTATAAACTGCATGAAGACAGTAACTAAAAGAACATTCACAAGAAACTTATGGGTATGGCCTTAAAAGCACACTCAGGTCAAAGTTCCCTTTTAGCTTCATGCCCAATCGGTGATTTTTCTTTACAGCTATAAGGCATTACAAAGGTTCTACATCCCTAAGGCATGTTTTTTAAAAAGCCACCATGTACTGTATGACCTAGAAATA